TAGTGAAATATAGTAAAACTTGTATGTATGAAAACACAACTCACCAGAAAGATAAGCACCTACATACAAACCAAGTGAGGAGCTTCGACTCAATGCTGATATTTATTGGAACAAGTGTATACTTCCCCACAGAGATAACAACTGCTGCTGCTGCTGACATAATAGCATGCATTGTACAGAATCACGGTTTCAGTTATACAAATTCCGTGTTGATGAGTGGAGTTGAGGCAGTTCTGTTGCTTTGTGACCCTAAGTGCAGCAGAACGAAGCAACATTGGGTTACTAGTACCTTACCCTTACAATTGCTGTTGAGCCCACTGTTGCAGTGACTGTGTTAATCAATCCATCTCATTGAATGGCTTCATCTTTTTTTATTAACCTTCTCCTTTTCCAACCCTGATGTTTTTCTCCAGGGACTGGTCCCTCCTGATTATATGTCAAAAGCAAGTGAGATGAAGTCTCACCATCCTTGCTTCTAAGGAGCATTGTGACTGTATTTTTCCAAAACAGATTATTACTTCTCGGGCAGTACATGGTATATTTAAGACTATGCACTAACATCATAATGTAAAGGCGATAGTTCTTTGGATTTTCTTGTCCTTGCAAGCTTACCCATGCATATGATAAAAATATACCACGGCTTGGGTCAGGTACATCTTAGTCCTTAGGTGATATCTTTGCCTTTTGATGCCTCAAAGAGATCCTTTGCTGCAGGTTTGTGCAATGTTATCTATAATTTGATTTCTTTATGGCTGCTTCATGAGCACTGGGTATATGGATCCAAGCATCCAACTTCAAGATTTTCTGTATTTATCATGATGTTGCTTATTGGTATAATTGTGAGGATTTTGTTTTCTCTATGTTGAAGTGTAATTTACGTGGAAGGCCGTCCACTTTGATCATCAGTAAATGCTTCAAGTCCTCTTTTAACAAGCAAGACTGTATCATCTGTGTATCACAGGTTGTTAATAAGTGTCCCTCTGGTTCTGGTACTGAGTTCTTCTTCATACAGTCCAGCTTTGCTCAGCACACATATTGATAAGGTGTGGTGAGAGAGTGGAACCCTGATACACAGTGATGTCACCTCCTCTCATACCAGACCATGCAGAATCTTTGATAATACTTATTAGCAGAATAATATCTAATAAATATAATTTTAAATTGCTTTAGTATTTCTTAGATTATATGAATATTAACAATAAAATTATTTTGTAAAATCAATGTTGAATTGCAATTATTATTGATAATTGAGCAGAATAGCCTTTTAATATATTTTTCTCCTTCTTTTCCTTGACTTACTACTTAACTTGCAAAAATGTTACTGACAAAAAATTCACAAATACTGTCAATTTCAAACTAAACTGAACTCACGGCCATCAAGTCAGAACTGACTCATAGTTGACCTTCCAGCAGGTTTTCTGTGGCTGTAAATCACACGGGAGGAAATTTCCCATTTTCCTCCCTCAAAGCCTTTGGTGAGTTTGAACTACCTGACTTTGGGTTGTAGTGCAACCTTCTATTGACTCTTTAACATAATATTGTAGCTAAAACACCATCACATTTGACAACAGGAAGGAAAACACTAGCATGGGCTTCTAGTGTGTGCAGAAGAACACACATACACATTGAAATAATCATTGTAGTTGTATAATAGCTAAAACTCTGAGCAAAGTGCATCAAAGGTTCAGAAAGAAAATTAAGGTAGAGTTTTAGCCTTTTAGGTATGTTAAGACATATTATATGGGTTTATAAAAAATGTTTATGTTGCTTTAGCTAACTTGTGAATTTTTTATAAAAAATAATAAATCTCTGCTGAAACATTGTCCAAAACTTTTATAGACAGTAATTTAATGATACTCCCTTTATTAGTGTTAACACCCCCCATCCCCTTCCCCAGCACACATTCCTGGTGATATCAGTGCTGACACACATCTTTTCTGATTTTAAACCATGCAGCACCTCCTTGTTCTGTTCAAAAGGCTGTCTCAGTCTCTATAGATTCCACATGAAAGCAATTAAGAATTCTGGAATTCTAATTCTTTTTAAAATTATATAGTTTGTTAGGATTCATATAGTCAAATGGTTTTGCATAGTGAATAAATCACAGCAAATATTTTTCTGTTATTTTCTGCTTTCACTTAAGAGCCATCTGACATCAGCAAGGCTATCTGTCCATCATTCACATTCCATTCTGATTAAAGTCAGAATTTCTGGAAGTTTCCTCTTGATGTACTGCCACAATTTTTGAAGTATCTTCAATAGAATTTTACTTAAATATAATGTTAATAGTACTGGTTGAATATTTTCACATTTTGTTGCATTATCGTTCTTTAAAACAAGTATGTATATGATGCTTTTCAAGTCCATTCGCTAGGTAGTAGTATTCCAAATTTCTTAGTAAAGACAGGTGAATACTTTCACATGTTGCATTTGTTTGTTGAAATACTTCAACTGGTATTCTGTCAATTCTTGCAGCCTTTTTTTTCGCAAAAGAAAGTTCAGAATAGCTTGAACTTCTTCCTTAAGTATCATCAGTTCCTGATCATATACTGCCTCCTGAAATTATTTTTGGTATAAGGATTCTATGTATTCCTCTTATCTTTTATAGTCTGTATTTAGGAAGATAAATTTTGGTTGGATAGAAATGTAAGGGATATCATCTCTTAAGGTCACCATGTGCTGCTTTTGGAGGTAGGGAATTTCCTAACGTTAAGAATGGTCAGGAATGAGGCCATAGAGCTAGAGAGGGTAGTCCTCATAGACACGCCTACTGTCTGCTCCTATGACTTTTGTAAGGTATTTGACTATCTTGGACCTTAGCATACCTGGTAAGTCCTTGTAGATCAAGGCAAGGGGATCTTCCATGGCACATTAAGTTGCCACTGTGGCATGTTCAGGATAACCGGGGCTATCTGACTTTAAGGAAAAAGGTTCTTTAAATAGTTCCAGTACTGTATCTGTCCCCAGAAACTGAACAATGCTCCTGAACATGGCTCCTAGCCATGCTTCTGGGAGTTCTTTTCCTCTTTCCATCTGGAAAGCTCTCCTTAGCCTCCCCTGTGATGTGCCCATCTTCCTGAATTCCTTTAAGGTCCGACTCCAACACTGTCTCATCCAGGGTGTCTTTCCTTATCAGAGTTCCATACCAGAATGGACTCACTTTCACCTCTATGCATCTCTCTCACATAGCAACTGGCAGGGTTCATTCTATTACATGGTGGTCACTTACGCATGTGCCATTTCTAACATTAGAGGCTTCTAGAAGGTGTAAACCATGTAATCCTCATCTTGTTAGCCCTGAAGGCAATCAGTGCTGTTTATTCTTAGGAATATTTGGCTCTGCTGTGGAACAGAAGAATCATGGTGCCTTGGAATGCTTTGGAGGCAGTTTGAAACCTGTGCTTCATGATGCTTCCTGGGTATCTAGTACAGAATCTTACCTCCTTGACAAGTGTCCAATGGAGTCGGTGCCATTGCTACCCTTCCTTTACAGAATTAACAATAGAAGCAAGAAAGGTGGAATGACTTACCTATAGAATGAGGGATCAGTTAGCACAGAGGCAAGTTATGAAGACAGGAGTCTTCAGTCGGCAACTTAGGCCCCCCCTAAGTTATCCTTTCGTGTTATGTTCCTCTTTGGACAAAACCCTCAGAATGATGATAGCAGCTACCATGCGTGCCAAGAACAAAGACCCCTCACGAAGACCAGTGTTGACAGAAGAGAAGGCAGCGTTTGAGGCTTCTGATCTCTTGGCGGGCTTAAATCTTGGAGTTAGGGAAGGAATGAGGTTCCTGGATGTTTCGTTGGAGAAAAGGTGGCTCTTGGATGGGAGAGGCATTTTTCTTGGGAAACACTTAGGACTTGGCAGGTCTACGAGATTCAGAGTGAGGAATAGGGGTAGGAGGAGCGTGTAGGGGCCTGATGTTTTGCTCTACCTTATCCAGTCTAGGTTCTCAGGAAGGAAAGGAGGACAAAGCTCAACATAGATTCTTTTAGAAACGGGTTGAGGTTCCTTAGTTAGCACTTTATCTCGAAGCACTTATCTTTGGGAACCCGGATGCAGTGGAGAAGGCCATAATTGCAGAAGTGGCAGCATTTTACTTGCATTGAGACTCTTCTCAACATACGTAGTTTGCTTTTTTTCCGATTATTTTGGCATTAACGTTAACAGGGGGTGGGGAGACAGCTTTATTGTATCCTAGATTGTAAAGGCTGGACAGACACTCTGAGATGAAATGAGGAACTTCTTTGTCTAGGGCATGTGAGGAGTTGGGAAAAAGAACTAGTGCTGGAATCAGGCATGTGAGTTCCCAGTACATGGCTATCCCTCTCCCTTCCTGCCCGGCTTCTCACCCTCTCGCTTTGGTGTCTAGCTCATGTTCATAACCACACTGCAATGGGGAATAACGAAGAACGTAGCCTCTTCTCTTTATGGGGTTGGAGTTGGTGTTAGGAAAAGCGGATGACAGCAAAGAAGTACAGGACATTTTGGGCAGATGGAGGAGATCATTAAGGCTGAAGGTGATGAGGAATCATTAATCAGTCTTAAGATTCAGATAGAGGTTTGTCCGACTCATGGACTCATTGGTCTATGTCCACTGAACACTTACTTTGTGCCATGAACGGTGCTAAGTATTATGCCATGCTAATTAATAGCATCCTTATCACATTTTTTTGAGGTAGTTAAGCTATGACATTCCCATTTTACAGGTGAGGAAACCGAGGTTCAGAGAAGTAAAGTCATCTGCCCAGTGTTACAAAGCATGTAAGTGATGATGGAGCCTGGATTCAGTCATGAGCTGATCACTCTGCTACTCTGCCTTTTTAAAGGGGCTCAGAGGGGACAGAGCAGTTCCCTTTATCTTCAAGTAATGATGCATTGAACTGGTTGGGAAGTTGTGAAGGGCAAGGGCCAGAGGGAGGAAGCACTTCTTGAATCAGATAATTACTTTCTGCTTCTGACTGGCCACAGACTTGTGCAGGGGCTGAGAAACGCTGCTTAATTCCTCACCCCGGTGACGCTCTGGATCCAGTTCTTATTGTGGCTGATGTAGGAATACACTCCGTAGCGATCTTTCTTCCCACAGTCCTCTCCCCAGGACACTGTGCCCACCAAGTACCACTGGCCTCTCTCTCTATCCAAGGTCACCATGGGGCCTCCAGAATCACCTGAACAGGCGTCCTTCCCCCCTGGAGGAATAAAAGATGCAGACAAATAATAACCAAAACAAACAAAAAAAGGAAAGCGTGCCCACAAAGTCCAAGGAGGCCTCGTTCTCCCCAGTTTTTATTTGTAGTTTGAAGATTGGGCACTAGAGGGCACATGAGGCCCAAACCGTGCCTGTGAGCAGTTTTAGGTCAGATCTCCTCAGAGATGACATTGCCTGTATTACCTTTCATTTGTGCATGCAGCTACAGGACTTGTAAGTGGAGAGTCAGGGACTGTATGCCCTCTGCTCAGAGGGCTTGTTGATTTTTCCCCCTTTGATGATGCTTCTTTAATGGAAGCCCTGCTCCGCCTGGCTCCCTCCTTCCTCTACACCTGCAGCTGCTTACTGGAGTCCAAGATCTTTAGTCCTCCCACTGCTGGCTCCGCAGTGGATACCCTTGTTCTGTTACCCCTCCCTCTGCAGTCTCTTGACTTACCTTCTTTCTCCCCAGCACAGATCATGTCCACAGTCACCTTTTTCTTCAGTTGTCCATAGGCCTCCTGGCAGATGAGATGATCAACAATGGGAATTTCGATCTGAAACACAAAGGTACTTACTGTTGCTGCTGATGCTGGATTGAAGAGACCCTGCTGTTTTGATACCTTGGGTGCTGGCTCCTCGCGAAGGAGCAATGGATCATCCTTAAACTTAGTTCAGAAACTGCACTAAGATGCTGGTGTGGGAACAGAGTGGGGAAGCAGGTGACCCAAGTTCGGATACAGCCTTAGCCATGAACTTGCTGTGTGACCTGGGACAAGCCACTTATCTTGTTTGGGCCTCAGTTCTCTAATCTGTAAAATGAGGATAAAGAATATTTGCCTAGCTTATGTGTTGTTTCAGATACAGCAATGCATGCAAAGCCGCGGATAGTCTTCTTTCGGCCTCTGCCCTTATTAGCTGTGGCAGTTTGGACATACGACTTAATCACTTTGTCTTTCAGATCTCTGTGTGACTTCTTCCTTGTCTGCAAAATGGAAGTCACAATATTTGACAGGATAATCAGACGGAGTTGCTGTATGAAGAAGAGACAAACGAATGTTCTGTAAGCCACTACCTGTGTAAATATTAGATACTGTAAGGGTTGTTAGTGCTTGCTTTGCAGCAAGTACGTGAGCTCTTCTCTTTACTGTAGTGTGAAGTTTTAGGCCTAAGTGAAGGTTTAACTATTGCCTATTTCTACTTTGTAGACCTTGCTGTTGTATGTGACACTAAGTTGAAACTGACTATAGCTGCCCTCAGTGAGTTTTCAGAGGCTGTAAATCACTAAAGAGGAGAGTGCCCATTTTCTCCATCAAATTTGAACCTTGTGCCTTTGAATTGGTTGTGTAACTCTTTACCACTCACTGCATCTTCAGGGTCCCTTTGTATAGTTGTTGTTGTTGTTATGTACCATCGAGTTAGAACGAACCATTGCTAACCCTCCAGTGGGTTTTCAGAGGCAGTAATTACACAGGAGGAGATTGCCATAGTAAATACTCAGGGAATTAACTTCTTTAGTTGAGGTGGTAAATTTACACTTAAAGATGGTATGATTACAGACAGTGCCTGAATTATTAATTGTATTCATAAATCTTTCTTTAAGTGGAATTTTTATGCAAATCAGAAGGATTAGTCAAATGTTTGTCTTATATTATAGTTTGTACTGTACTTTTCTATATATCATAACATTAAAGAAACCATTCCAGATACACTAAAAACATCTTTAACATAACAAAGCAACAAAAATAATGTTTCACAATGCATATCCTAAATAGCACCTGTTTGTTATGATGAACCATGGCGTGTACCTCAAGATTAAATATAATCTTGAATCTTAACGTGATCTTTAGTCTTCCAGGGCAGCGTTTTTCCTATGAATTGTGCAGAGGGAGCTCTGGTGGCCTAGTGGTATGAAGCTGCACTTCAATCCCCAATTCATGCAGGTCTAATCCACCAGCTGTTCTGCAGGAGAAAGATAGGCAGTCTCCTGTTGTGTGATTAACTGCCTGTGAAAACAGCAACAAGTTGTTGACTCAAGTCTAATGCTTATAACTTGAGGAAAGACTGTATTCATTCATTTTGAGTGTAAATATTGGAATAGATGTCTGGAGTAAGAGGGAACAGCTATATCTCATTTAGACAAACCAAGAACTGCATTGACCATTTTCCCCTAAAGTACAACTCCTGCTGACCTGTGCTGGGAGGGGCCAGAGACCATTAAAATCTCTCTTGATATGGCCTTCTCAAGGCAGTTCTTCAGAAAATTGCCCATCACCTGGTTAACCTCTCTTCATCCATCAGTTCTCATGTAAGTGCCACATCCTCTGGGAAGTAATGGAAGGACTTCAAGGTGAGGCCAGGACTCCTATTACATAATCAGGAGCATTTTTCACTTTTCCTTTATTTTATCTATCACATCGATAGTTATGTTCTGTCTTTTCCACTTGGTCATAAGCCCAAGGAAGCCAGGGACTGTATCTGTTCTTTTACCGTAGTCCCAGCACCCCTAGTAGCTAGTGAAATGTCTGGAAGATGGGAGGCACTAAATGTACATGCAAGAGTTAATGAATGAAGGAATGGGTGGTTGTTGCAAGCCCCAAAGTTTAATGTATGCTAAAATACCATATGGAAGGATGTGGAAATCAGCAGTGCCAGTCATGGAATATGGCAGAAAGTGGAAAAACTTAAAGATTATCTAGTGTGGCCCCCTAACTGTGCAGTTTGAGGTATCATGACCCAGGGAAGTGAAATAACTTGTTTGACATCACTCAAAAGTTGATAGTAGCCAGAGATTGTAAATTCTAGTACAATTCCCTTTTCTGAAACAATACTGAATGTGGAATTCTAAATGACATCATTAAATTAATTACTGCAAGAATTATGTGCTCACAAAAGTCTGGCCTATTCTTGGTTAATCTGATTTATGAATCCTCATGATATACAGATGGACCATGACACTTTAGGATGTCCCAGCCTGCTGTTTTCTGGGAGAATTTCCACATAAGCAACAGGAACACTGAGCAATGTTTAGAGATAAATATCTCATGACATGAACAGTAAAGAGATCAATGTTGTTGATGCTCAAAGTCATAGTCAACTCTGGAGGTAATTCTGGGAGCCTGGTGTTGTTATTCCTTATCCTATCCTCCAAATTCCTGCAGGGCAATATGGAGCAGGGAGATACACTATTCAGAGATGTAAATGGAACTTCACCTCCATCAGAGTCTCTGGAAACCTTTGCAAGAACTGCTTTCCCCAGCCACTGACGATGACCATGGCCCCTGGAGGAGAGAAGATTCGATGAGAGCAGGGAGGCTGGCTGTCAGGTTTTCAGAACCCCATCATTTTGTGCTAGTGAAGGGAGGAATCCGTTTACCCCGAGAAGAAGGCAGCATGGTGGGGAGGAAAGGCAATTGGGTCACAGTTACCTCGACTAGATCTGTGGTACTTGATTCTATGAGAAATTACCTGTGTAGTTGTTTAGGTGTCTATTATTTGTAATCCTTAACTATCATGGAAGGGAGCTCTGGTGGTGTAGTGGCAAGAAGCTGTGCTGCAGTCCCAAAGGCACATGGTTTGAGGTCACCAGCTGCTCAGCAGGAGAAGGATGTTTAATCTCATATCATGTGATTAACTGCCTCTGAAAACCCAGCGGAGGATCAGCTATGCGTCAGTTCCGATTTACAGTACACAAACAACAACTACTACTGTCACGGAACCAGGGCTTCAAACAAGGTCTCCCTAGCTTAGTCATGGCCAAGGAAGTGAGCCTGAAACGAACCCAATCTGTAAAGTGTGCTTGTACCAGACAATAACTGGAATGGGGGAAATGACAGGCCAGTGTCCTGCTTGAGATGTAATCTTCCTCCTAGAAACAAGGGCAGCATGTGTGTTTATTAAAAAACAGTCTCTCGATAAGCAGAATTGGAAATAGTAGACTGGCTTAGATGGTGGTCCACTGTGCTGCCTTGAATATGTATGCTGTCCCCAGTCCTAACAATAAGCTAATCTTCCACATCAGGATCCTCAAAGGGTTTACTATGCTTCCTCTGAGTCCCCCATTCCAGGGTTTCAATCTTGAATTTTTCCTGTTCTGATCATAGTTTCAATTCCCCTACATTTTCTAAAAAAAAATAAATAAATAAATAAATAAATAACTGGTCTGAAACCCTCTATAGAACCTGGGATCTGCCTATAAGAACAAACTCCTTGCCTGTCTCATTCACAGCTGAATTTCTATGTCTATAGTAGGACCTAGTCAATAAATAAAAACACTCGGCCCCCAGCTCGGGGGGAGCCGTTGCGGCCCTCTGACTGGGGCAGGCTGCCCTCGGCCCTCTGCCCGGGG